AGTAGATGTTTTTCTGGAACTCTCTGGCTTTCTCCATAATCCAGCGCATGTTAGCAATTTGGTCTCTAGTTCCTCTGCCCCTTCGAAATCCAGTGTGTACTTCTGGGAGTTCTCGGTCCACATACTACTGAAGCCTACCTTGGAGGATTTTGAGCATGACCTTGCTAGCGTGTGAAATTAGTGCAATTTTACGGTAGTTGGAGCATTCTTTGGGACTGCCCTTCTTTGGGATTGGGATGTAGACTGTTCTTTTCCAGTCCTCTGGCCACTGCTGAGTTTTGCAAACTTGCTGGCATATTGAGCATAGCACCTTAACAGCATCATCTTTTAAGATTTTAAATAGTTCAACTGGAATGCCATCACCTCCACAGGCCTTGTTGTTAGCCATGCTTTCTAAGGCCCACTTGACTTCACTCTCCAGGATGTCTGGCTCAAGGTCAGCAACCACACTTTCTGGGTTGTCCGGGACATCCAGAACTTTCTGGTATAATTCCTCTGTGTATTCTTGCCACCTCTTCTTGATGTCTTCTGCTTCTGTTAAGTCCCTACCATTTTTGTCCTTTATCACTGTGGTCCCCAACCTTGGGCCTCCAGATGTTCTTGAACTTCAACTCCCAGAAATCCTGGCCAGCAGAAGAGGTGGTGAAGGCTTCTGGGAGTTGTAGTCCAAAAAAATCTGGAGGCCCAAGGTTGGGAACCACTGCTTTATCATATTTATCTTTGCCCAGAATTTTCCTTTAATATTTCCAGTTTTCTTGATCAGATCTCTGGTTTTTCCCTTCTATTATTTTCCTCTATATCTTTGCACTGTTCATTTAAGAAGGCCCTCTTGTCTCTCCTTGCTATTCTTTGGAAGTCTGCATTCAATTTTCTGTAACTTTCCCCATCTCCCTTGCATCTTGTTTCCCTTCCCTTGTCTCCTATTTGTAAGGCCTCGTTGGACAGCCACTTTGCTTTCTTGCCTTTCCTTTTCTTTGGGATGGTTTTTGTTGCTGCCTCCTGTACAGTGTTATGAGCCTCCGTCCATAGTTCTTCAGGGACTGCATCCACCAAATCTAGCTCCTTAAATCTGTTCTTCACTTTCATTTTAAATACAGTTCTTGTGTTGAAGGAAACACAGAGGAACTCCTACCATTTATCAATTAGAAGTCAGACATACACTAGGAAATGGGACTGTTGGCACTTGTCTTCATCCCGGGGGTGGGGGGGAGACTTGTGCTGCATCAAGTGGGAGACAGATAGATGAAGGTGAGAATGAGGATTCCTGATTTCTGATCTGAACTCCAGTAATTTCAGAAGGATTCATACAAAGAACTGGGATACTGAAGCTTTTTTCCCCCCTGTGGAACGAACTAAAGTCAAATCTTTGTTCTCTTTTTTGTTCTGTGCAAGCATGGCACATCACTCACTACTTTGCTTCCTTATCCACAAGAGGTCTTTAACCCAAACCTTTTGTCAGAAGTGTTTGCTATGTAGACGTGGAGCATTTTGACTGTTGTGTGATCCATGCTAACAATGCTATGTCTCTGGTTTCTCTGCCTTGAGTATGTTGGTCCATTATGTCTGCTTGATGTCTCATGCCCAGGTAGTGATTCTTTAGCATACAGCAGCTCACTCTTGCATACAGGGTGAGCTCCTGTAGCATTCAGAATGATTTGTGCCTCCAACTCTGAGCAGACCAGCGTTGAAGAATTATGAGGATTGCAGTTTGAAAAGATCTGGAGGACCACTGTTACTGTATCTATGTCTGCTTTAGCAGGATAGGGCTGTGAAACCAAACAGATGCCATCACTTTTTGCCTTTGTGAAAGCAGCAAAGGCAGGTTTTGTTCGTTGGAACCCATTCAAATTATCTGCACTGGGGACACCAGAGGGAACATTCTCTACCTTGAGCCTGGTTAGATGTACTTTATTCCAACTACAGCAGGAGAGGCTTCAGGGCTAATGTGGAATTCTCTTTCTTGTTTCAGAGATTCTGAATGATGTCATCCGCAGCATGAAGAAGGAAGGAGAATGGAAGGTAAAAAAGGTTCTTGGGGAAACGGGAAAAAAGTTGTATATTGTTTACAAATTTCTTCCAGCCTCCAGACATGCATCTTGCATCTCTGCGGGTTATGAGAAGCTGTAAGAACTAATAAAAATGACTTGCATCTCCACTGGGCTCTGCTGTGTATATCATTCGTTCAGATCACCTCTCTGCCAGGTTTCCTTTGGAACAGCAAGTGTCTGTTTGTTCTGGAGGCTGTGTGTTTACCATGTCTTCTGCCTTGCTCACTGTGGTGATCAAGGATCCATCTAGGGCTTCCCATAACATTTGGTGGTGTAAGAGGTTTAGGGGCCAGCTCAGCCATGAAATCACCGGTTGCAGGGAGATCAAAGAAGTTATTCTCTCAGCTTTATTCTGTTGCTTATACAAGGGCATGTAATAGCTTCGATAGTGCTTACACACTTGTTTCCTGGTTATTTTCCTCAGAGTTAAAAGTGTTGCCATCTTGCTACCAATCTGTTTTGCTCCTGTAGGCTGCATCTGTGTGTGGGAGGGAAGGAGGGATTATCTTTGGTGTGCCTAAATGTATATGGTATTAACATGAAAGGTAGGTTATGCTAGCAAGCTTCAGATATCAGCAAGAGTCAGTGCCACCTGGAACAATATGTCCAATACAAGTGAGAAGGTTTTTGTTTTCTATAACTTCCTCTGTGGGATTTTCATGACTCTGAAATTACAACATATTGTGAAACGTACATGCATGAGTGTGAAAAGTACATGCATGATGAATTTCCTGTCTTTGCAAGTTAGGTTGATTATAAGTTCTAGCTGATCTAGCAGTGGATATTTTTGGGAAGGAAGCCAGAGTTCTATGCTAAATAATTCCAGAAATATTGATGTGAGATTCATGTAATTTGCCATGGTTAATTGATGAGGTGCTAGGGCCTGTTCTGGTCATGCATGATCATGAGCTGTCCCCTAACAAATAGCCATAATTAGCTGTGGCAAGTTATGCAACCCTTAGGTGACTCTCAAGACAACCCCAGCTGCTTGTTACTTTTGGATTCACTTTGAATTTTAGCATATAAAATAAGTGGGATAAGACCAAAACAAAAGTGGTTTTTCAGTTCTGACAGTTTGAAAAGTCGTTGGAAAGAGAGTTAGTGAAACTGGGGAGCAATGCAGGATATGCTCAAGCAGCATACATGGCTGTCTTCTTCCCCTCACAGCGAGCCGTGAAGCTGGTTATGCAGAAAGGGAATGACCCACTGAGTTTTGTGGTCAAATGGACACTTGAATCTGGATCTCTCAAGGTCCATTCCATCACATCTAATCATTGCACCACACTAGGTTGTCTCTTCTCCACTGCTTTTTCCATCTTTCTCCCTGCAGGTGCTTGTTGTGGACCATTCCAGCACACGGATTCTCTCTTCTTGTTTTAAGATGTCAGATCTTTTGGCTGAAGGGATCACAAGTGAGTAATTTGGGCCAGATCCTGTGGTGCTTTCCTTAATCATTTGAGCAGAAGCTCCCAGCACAATGAGAGACATGTTGCCATCTATTCCTGAGCACTAACTCTTTACTTGCCTTCTCAGAAATATGTCAGCCCAAAGTAAGCTTAATCTGCACATTGCTGTTTAATGTTATGCTGGCAAACCTACAGTCTGCTTCTTGTCACATCTTTATCCTCATGGTTTGTATATCAATTTAGAGCCCCCTTTCCTCTCCCACCACCCAAATAAAATGCAGCTCTGGGAATTACTCAGTTCCACTCTTTTTTGTCCTCTCTTTCTCATCCCAAATCCTGATATCTGACATATGTTTATCTTACTCAGTTATTGAAGATATTAACAAGCGCCGAGAGCCCCTCCCCAGCCTGGAAGCCATCTATTTGATCAGCCCCATTGAGACGGTAGGTCCTTAATCATGATATATTTGAACAGACATGGAATCGGTGAAACACTGCCAGGTATCACTTGACAACAGCAGGACAAAATCCAGTCGTAGTTCCTTAGAGAATTCCCTGACTGCTTGTTCTGCATGAGGAGAGATTCCTAGTATGAGTGGAGAAGTGCTGTTTCTTGAAGACAAGGTGAGGAAAAGTGGAGCAGAAGTTTGGAGGTGATGACCCTCGGGACCTTTTATAGCTCTTCAGTTTTGTGGTTCTGTGAAACTGGTGGTGGGAGTTCGGGTAGCGGAAGAAATAAGAAAGACTCCTGCAATACTTTGAAGACTTATCAATTTTGTTATTTTATGAATTTTTCTGAACTGTGACTGATTTCATCAGATGCATGGCATGTTTTTCAGAATTTCAGGTACATACTGCAGAATGCATGGGCACCAGTTAGAAATGCAGAAATTACCATACAACAGGGACATTGTACAATTAACACTGGTCAAGTGGCCATTCATAAAAATCTTGCTGAGTGCTCAGACATTCTGGCATGAGGGGAAATGATTAAGGCACATAGTCTGATAAAAGTCTGCCATCCCAGTTTATTGAAATCTCTGGTAATAGGCTAGAATTTTCTAAAGAATTGTAATTCAGCTGCCTCTCTCTTATGAGAGTGATAATGATTCAGTGGCAGAAACTTAGATATGTGTATAAATAACTGCTGTTAATGAACTGTTTTCTCCTTATAGTCAGTGCAAGCTCTGATAAATGACTTCAAAGGCACTCCCACCTTCACATACAAAGCTGCTCATGTTTTCTTCACTGACAGTAAGTTCACAAATTGCTTCTGAATAGTGCCCTTAGGAAGAAGGCCCCTTTAAACTGACTTGGGTACCATAGGTTTTTCCTTGAGATATATGCTTATCTAAGTTGAGGGTCATCCTGATGAAAGCTATCTTCTATCTGCAGATCTTGGGCTGATGGTCAAAGCACATGTCATACCATTAGGCAGTTCAATGAGATACTAATAGTAGAGTTTGGGGATGATGGGGTCATCTTCAGTACATTTCTGGCTCTCAGAAGCTTCCAGCGTGTCATGGCAACATGGAAGGTGGATGATTCTGTGAAAAAACTGTGGTTTTGATTACTGAGTTCCTGTCAGCATCTTCTTTGTGAGTTTCTGGGGCCTACTTGTAGTTTGTTATGACAGGTTTGAGGGGCAGTAAAGAAAAACCCTAAGTGCTCACCGTGACCTTTAGTTCTAGGGCAGGAAGTGAAGTTAGAATCCTTTTATTTCCCTCCTTGTCACTGTGAGCCTATTACTGTGCAGGAAAAAGCTGTGCAGCAGAGTGAATGAGCAGAAATAATAGTGGATCACCTGTGAGGAAGAATGAGTGTGACTTCTGTCCTGTTGTTGACTTCCAGCCTGTCCTGACAACCTCTTTGATGAGCTCAGCAAGTCCCGAATCATCAAAGCCATCAAAACACTCAAGGAAATCAATGTTGCCTTCCTTCCTTATGAGTCACAGGTGAGGAGAAGTGTGAATGGAGGGTAGAAGCTCTGTGTAGAAGCCTTTTGTTTTCTCTTTCACTGGACTTTGTAGGTAGGCTGCCAGATGAGAGATATCACCACAGCTGAAAGAACACAGAGCTACTGGGAGTCCTTCTGGGAGGAAAGAATAAGGATCTTTTCTGTAGGGTGTATCAACCTGAGAAGGAATCCTATGTGTATTTTGTAGAATGTAATAGGAGCTTCCCATGTATGTAGTAAATTGTATATCCCACAGCCTAGTCAGCATGGCCAATGATCTTCTACATGGTCTTCTACATGGACCACATCTCAGTCAGTGGGAAGAATTGGTTAGCAGCCTAGGCAGTGAATATGTATGCAATAGCTAGAATCTGGTCCTTTGCACGCTAGAATAAGCTGGGTACAAGAATTGTCTAAGCAACAGCATGCTAATACAGTGAACAGAAGAGATATAATATCACACCACTGATATTTCTGTATACTGTTCCAGCCCATGTTATATTCCCTACCACTGTATACACTTCACCATGGTTCACTTGTACTGGTAGAAGACTTTCTACCCTTTCCTCTTTTTGTTGGGGGACAGGACAAATCATGCTCTGCATTTGCACAGAGAACTTAATGCCAGCATGGGAAGCCTGTGGCCCTCCAAAATCTGTTGAAGCACAGCTCCCAGCTTATCATTGGCCATGCTGACTAGTGCTAATGGGAATTGACGTCAAGCAATAATTTGAAGGGCCAGAGGTTCTTTGTCTTATAATACCCTATGTTTAGTTGTTTTTAACTTTGTAGTTCATTGCTGTTTTTAGGCTGACTTGTTCTAATTATTGTAAGCCACCTTGGGTCCCCTCACAAGGAGAAAGGCAGTATAAAAATAATGCAAACAGACAAATAAATCAATAAATCCATGGCTTAAGTGTACACTTATATCAGCACTTTCTCAATTAGTATATCTTTGCAGCCTCATGCTATTTTGGGTAGGATTTTGTGTATTGCTTCACATTTTGAGATTGAATAAACCATCTTCTTTTAGCCTTGAGGGCAGATAGCCATTTTGTTTTAGCTGTATAGTTAAATTCATATGATGACTTGTCCTCAATTGCGCTAATATAAGATTACCTACCAGACCATTGCAGAAAGAAAGTATAAGGGGACTTTTGCATACCACTGTGACAATTTCTGTTAGTGTACAGATTGGCTGGAGAGGTCAGATTTGAGTCACTCCAGCAAATTGTTGAGAACATCATATCTGTACAGTTACCCAGATGTAACCCTGGAATAAATCTGTGCTCCAAGTGAAGCAACCCAGAGTTTGTTCTCAAGTATTTGGAGGACTTGATCACGTTGTTCCTTTCAAGCAGCTGACACCTGTCAACCTCTAGACTTAAAACAAGCAAGCAAACAAAAAAGAATATGCAACAATGGCTTAGTAGTTGATTTTTCCTGCCAAGAATACTTTATCAAACTGTATTGTATCTGGTTAAGCTTCAGCACCTCAAACAGGGAACTGGATTACAGTACTCTCTATTCTACTAATATTCCCTGCACATGAATGGTAGTCCCAAAGAGCCTGTAGTAATAATGCTAATCACAGATTACCTTGCAGTCAGGATAAGATGCAGCATAACAATAGGTAAATTATAGGCTTCCCTAAAACAAGAAGTTAGCAGCCTTTAATGACTTCTAAGTATTGCATATCCAGAATGCACAAATAAGAATTAGCTCTTTTCCTGGGCTGGTTGCCTGTTGTCCCAAATGAGGAGGCTGTTATCAGATTCATTGAAGATCTGGGGTGGGGGGCTACTATTGGTTTGTGCTTCTTGACAATCCAGACCCGTGGTTGTCAGCTGCAGTGGTGGCGGCTCGGAAGAAGCTCTCTTCAGAAATATGTCATTTGTTTTGTGACATTTGCTCTTCAAGTAATGGGCCCCTCTTTGGTTCTCTTGCAGCTTGCTAGGGCACTGTTTCCATTGCTAGATACATTTCCTCTGTACCAGTATTCACTACCTTTTTAATGTTGTTGTTTTTTTTGGGTGGGGGATCACCCTTGCCCTTCTGTCTCTGTGTCACTTGCTTTCTCTAGGTGTATTGTCTGGATAACCCGCAGAGCTTCTGCCATCTTTTCAGCCCGCAGTGCAAGGAAGAGAAAAACAATCACTTGGAGAAGATGGCAGAGCAGATTGCCACCTTATGTGACACCCTCAAAGAATACCCCTCCATTCGCTACAGGAAGTTAGTGTCATGGTCCTGTTGTACATGGAGGGAAAGGTGGGAGGAGGCTGGTAACTCTGAGTGCATGTGGTGTATGAGGGCATCGTGCAGTGCAGAGAAATTGCAAGAGCCATAATAAGAGGCTGCCTATCTATTATGGGATGAGACAGTGCCTTGCTCTTTATTGTTCAAGTGGGGCAGGTTGGCTCACCAATGGCTTAATTTGGGGCTTTGTTGCCAGATACATTCTACTGAGACTGAGAAACTAGTTAGTTTATGGGAAGGGATGGTTCTCCTCCTGAACATCTTGTCTTGGCTTTCCCATTCATAGGAGAAGAGCCATCCTTTGTTGTGTTCAATTTAGTTTTACTCCTGTGATCCAGCACTGGAAGTGTTGCTCCTGAACAGCCCTATGTTTCTTTGCCACAGTGGCTCTGAAGACTGCTGCCTGTTGGCCCATGCCGTGCTAGCCAAGCTGAATGCCTTCAAAGCAGACAACCCTACCATGGGAGAGGTGAGCTCCAGAGTGCTTTGGACTTACGAGAAAAATGCATTCCTTTGCAAGGCCAGCTGCTCTGATGCCATCTCAGAAACCCCCTGATGCTGGTGTTTCACAAGCTGAACATGAGAGTGGTAATTGCTGTAAAGATGTGGGGAAACGTTCTTGAAAATTAGAAGAATGCAGAAGTGGTTTTCTTTGACACAGGAATGAAATGCATGTTGGGTCAGGATAGGAATGGCTGACCTCCTGCGGAATGATGAATGGACAATGGGCTGTGAAACCTGAGCACGTCTTGTCCTTCTGGTCCTAAAGAGGAAGAGTCTCTCACACCTTGTCTTTGACAACACTCTTACTTCATTTTAACTATGTGTGCTTTTCAGCCCAATGTGCAGTTTGCATTAGGGCCCACTCCTGAACAGACATCCATTGGTTTGAATTGTGTTTTGTGTGGTTGGTGTGGAAATGTGATGTCAGAATTGCATCTAGTATTACCTTTGACTTCTCTCAATGCTAGAATATATTCCCTCCCAAACTGAAATTTGGCTTCCAGGTGAAAACCTGTCCCCCACCTCAGATTAAAGCATGTCTGCTCATGAGAAAGGACTGTTAATTTGATTTTACCTGTAGCTTCCCAGGGCCTGGCATGCTCTGGTCCCTGGGGTCACAAAGAGTCGGACACAACTAAATGATAAATTTATTTANNNTTATTTATTTATTTTATTTATATCCCGCCTATCTAGTCACTTAAGACCATTCTAGGCGGCTGAATGACAACGTAGCTTCCCAGTGCTGCATTTTAGTTTCTAGACCGGGAAACAAAACACAGGTCATTACCCTGAATGCCATTTGGTTTGCATGTAAACCAGAATATTCCAGATATTTACTGTGAGAACACCAAGATGGCCTTGAGTCTCTGCAAGCTGCCTTGAGGTCCCTACATGGGAAGAAAAGCAGGATACAAATGAGAGACAGAGAGAGAGAGAAAGGTGGGGAGAAGTTCTGTTCATTGCCTGTTATAAGTAAAACTTAGCGTTTGACCTTCAGTTAGGCTTTTGATATTGCTTTGGCCACACTGGGCATTCTTAACAATATTCCAGGGTCCATGTTCAAAACAGGTCAGGCCTACCGGTGCTCCTAGAAAAGACTGGTTTTGTGAGGGTATTTCCCTTTTTAAATAGTTTGTCAAAGAGTAACCAGTATCCTGTTCCACAGCTTTGCTGGCATGGCCAGAGAACGACGTCGCCAGCAGCACCTGGTGCTGCCCTCCAAGGTCCTTGTGGGCACATGGGGAGATATTGATCCAAAAAAAATATCCCCCAAAAAACCCCACAGACAAGCAACCCTAAAACTCTGTGTGGGAAATATGGGTGCGTTTAGGGGATCCAGTGCTGCAGGGGCACTGCATGCACCAAATCCCTGACGTAGAGCTTGGAAACTCATCCTTGTTTGGACTACAGCTTCCATACTCCCCCAGACTGACTGGGGAATCTGGGAGTTGTAATCCAAAGCAGGACATTTTCCAAGTTCTATCCATGACACTTACAGAGAGCCTTCCTTTCTAGACCAAAGTATGGCTATCAGTTGCGCTTCTCGCAGGCAAGAATTATTTGATTTTAAAGTAATTATGCTAATAAACAGTGATTCTCTCACAGGGCAGGGAAAGTAAGATGCCATTTGTGACTAGCATCAGTATCTCTTCTAATGGGTTGCAGTGAGAATAGCATTGCTTCTGGATTGTATGTATCTCTTTTGCAGGTAATAAGAACAGGAGGTAGCTCTCCTCAGGTACTGTGAGTCTGAGGCAGAAGTTTGACTCAGGTCATTGAGTTGATATCTCCTAGACACCAGTGCTGAGGGGATTTGCCTGGACCTATAAATTATAGGTGCATTTTTCTCAAGCTATCAAACAGCCTGTCCTTCTTAATCTGTGGTTCTCCAAATATTTTAGATTAGGTGAGAACATCTAGAGGCCTCAGGATGAAGTAGATACAGTATTGTGGTTTCTGAAGCGGTGGATGGTTTCTGTTAAAAACAGCCAAAGTTCCCCTGGGTTATTTTCTGTTTTGGCAGCCGTCTAGGGACTCGATCACATGTGAGAAAAGAACCCCAGTTACATCAATTCTTTTCATACCTCTGTTGTATTGATACATTTTTTCAGCAGTCACGTGATATATATATATCAGCAGGAGGATTGACATTGTTTTTAACTGCATCAATTCATTATTACTATTTGAATTGTTATAGATGGCTACACTGCTCTTTAATTTTGTATTGGTTCATTTTCTCTATGGTTTCTTGAAGCAATCAGGCACCCCCTTGACCTTTTCTTTAAAAATAACAGAAGATGTCCTTCTCCCCTTTTCCCTTCCCTCCTTTATCCACTTGTCCCCTTTCCCTTATTTCTCTGCATATTTTTCATTTTTCTTTTCCCTTTTGCACAACATCGGGGAGAGGAAGCATATTGTGAAGAGCAGGGTTTTTTAAAAGAGAGAATGTAGATGTTAATGCTACAGCCCCTTTTTAAAAAAATTCAAAGCAGGAAATGTGGCTGTTTCAAGACCTCTTCCACCTGCAAGCGGTGGGGGGGGAGGCTGTCTCCTTCGAGCTGTTCCATTCCAAGCAATGTATTCATGTTGATTTATTGATATCCCTTTAAAAGAGGAAGGGGGTACAAGTGCAGTGGCTATGAAGTAGCCACAGCATCCCAAAACCCGACCCCTTTGCAAAGGAAATAAATCTACAGCAACATTCACACATGCTGAAATAGTAAGGAATGAAGCAATACCTTATCAGTACAATTTAACACACCCCTCTTGTTGAGGGGGGAATAAACCAGTTGCTGGGACAAATGAATCAATGTTGGCTGTGCATGATGTGAACGGAAAATTATGAAATGATCTAAGAAATGGCCAAATTGGTATAACTGGGGTGTATATCAAATTCTAGGATTCATCCATAAAAAAAAGCATCCATGCCTCTGTAGGGAGCTGCTCTGTCTCTCTATGTGTGCATGTATAGTGCCACCTGCTCGTTGAAGGATGCACTGCACCATAGTCTTGCACACCTATGAGGACAGTTTTTTTGCTGTCCTCATTCTGGGCAGCTTTTGAGTCTTGCTGCAAAATGAGGTTTGCTCCTATGATTTGAAAGCCTAGAATGAGGTTTGACATTCGAGACGATTGTCTGTTTCACTGCCAGGTTGCTGCTATTACATCTGTGCAACTGGAGCTTTGAATATTCGTTTTCAAAAATAATTCATTACCTATTGTTTTTAAAGAGCAGTTTATTAGTGTTATTTGTGACTGAAAAAGTAAAACATGAAGAGCGCATTGCTAACACATTACTTTTGCAGTTTAAAAAATACTCTTAGAAATATGGCCATAAATTCTCCCAAATGATTCCCCAGTGGCATTTTAAGGGTAATGAAGAAACTTCATTTGTTGCACTAAAAAAAGTAATGTATTTACCTTTTTAAAAGTGTTCTTACATTGTTACTTTTTTACATCACATTATTTTCCAAACAAATAGTTTCTAGAACATGTTTTGAAATCCCCCCCCAAAATAATAATATATTCTTTGCCTTTATTGCCCCTAAAAGCAGCATACTAGAGGTAATGTCATTATTTGTAATGTGTTATTTCCACACTGCATAAAGTGAAGTTTTTCATGATGAAAAAAAGGAACAAATGCTGGCACAGAATTCTTCTCTGCCCCCACCCTGTGTTGTGTACTTTTCCACAATCGGGGAACATAACTTTGATATGCAGTATATACTCTTCTGACTTTCAGCTTGTTCTACTCAAACAGGTTAATAAGAGTTCCCCGAAATTATATACAGGGGGTCTCCACACATGCCACCCCATGGCATCAAGGCAGAGAATAGTCCGCCTCTGCTCCATATTACTGGCTTCTTCTCTTTTCTGTTTGCATGGCCTCACGTGTTTGAGTTGAGTCATCTCCCCTAATAGGATTGTGCACTGTCAATTGAGATGGGATTTTGTGCATTTCAATAATTGCATTGCTGACTGTCCACCCCCATGCCACCCCTGCCTCCATAAGCACGCTGAAGAGTTTGCACGCATCTGGTAGCTACTAACAGTCCAGTTGGTGAGAGGGGGTAGCAGGGCAGAGGAAGCTGAAAGTATGCTCTCCCTCTTTGTTACTGAGTGCCTACAGCAGTTCTGGCATTAAACGAATAATAATGCAATCCCATGGATGTCTACTCACAAGTGACACAATTATTTCACTCCTAGATAAATAGGTATAAGACTGTAGTATGAATAACTTGTATGTTCATAGGGGTTTCTTAAAACAGTGGAGAGCATGCTGTAGATAATATTCATGGGATGCCCGCAGGCTACTTAGTTTGGGGAAGCAATGAGACACAATAGCTCAGTGGTTTAGATGACTGGTTCTTAACCTTTGTTACTCAGATGTTTTTGGACTGCAACTCCCAGAAGCCTTCACCATCAGCTCTGCTGGCTGGGGTTTCTGGGAGTTGCAGTTCAAAAACACCTGAGTAACGAAGGTTAAGAACCATTGGTTTCGATCTCTGACTGTGGAGCCAAAGGCTGGAAGTTTGGTTCCTTGCTGTGCCTCCTTGACAGGGGCTGGGCTTGATTATCCGCAGGCTCCCTTCCAGCTCTGCAGTTCTAAGATGATGATGGTGATGATTATTGTTGTTGTTCACAAGGGACATCTGTCTAATGTCTTCCCTCTTCTCTTCTCTTCTCTCTGTGGCTGTCCTCAGGGGCCTGACAAATCTCGTTCACAGCTTCTGATTGTAGACCGGAGCTACGACCTGGTGTCCCCACTTTTGCATGAGCTCACTTTCCAGGCCATGGCCTATGACCTGCTCAACATTGAAAGCAACACTTACCGGTGAGAGCCATGCGTATGGGGAGGGGGGACAGCCAGGGTTGAAGTCTGTGGAGGAGGAGGAGGAGGAGGAGGGTGTTGCCTCCCCACTAAGATAGCGGCCATGCATATGTCTTAGCAATCCTTTTTTTCCCACTCTCTTCTTGCTTTCTGCCATCTCACCCAGGTATGAATCCACGGGCATCAGTGACTCAAAGGAAAAAGCTGTACTCTTGGATGATGACGATGACCTGTGGGTGCAGCTGCGCCACATGCACATTGCCGACGTATCCAAGTGAGAACCATCCTTGCTCATGACCTATTCTCCCTCCCCCCCTCTCTCTAACACACGCACGCGCGCACGCACACACACACACACACACACACACACACACACACAAACCCCGCCTCTGTAGACACTCGATGCAACTTATCCTTGGTGTGTCTGAAGTTAGCCATTCTGGTAATTCTAGCTGCATTTCCCAGTTCAGGTTTGGGTTGCCAATTGCGTCCATAGCTTGTCAGAATTAGGATGTAGGGGCTGAGAATCACCTCTGTGGGAACCCCGTGCCTTCTTTTTTCCCCCTCCAGATCAGGGTTTAAATATACATTCCTTCCACAGGAAAGTGACTGAGCTGTTGCGTACCTTCTGCGAGAGCAAGAGGCTTACCACAGACAAGGTGAGATCTGTTGAGTGCCTGTCTTTCCATTCTTTCTCTCTAGGAAGTTGAGGGAGATTTACAGAGGGTTCTCCAGGCAGTGAAACAGTGTCCTGGCCAGACTGGTTCAGTCCAAGCAGTCTGACTGCGATACATGCCTTCATACCATTCTCTAGGTCTCCTCCACCTTCTTAAAGTGAGAACCTCTCTGCAATTGGAGTAAAGATCCTACCATGCTGCTTATCATAGAAAACAGTTAATTATCCCAGGGATGGGTGCAGATGTGGGAGTAGTGCACCTGAGTACATGAGGACAGGGACCTTCTAGGTTGGTTTAGATGATCTGTGGCTGTCCAGATATTGCTGGGCTGGAGCTCCCGTCAGTGTGGGCAGTGGTGAGAGATGGTAAGAGATGCAGCCCACCATGATCTGGAGGGCCCCACATTCCCCACCTGCTGCTCTAGGCAGAGCAGCAGGAGGCAGCTTTACCACAATGAAAGCCAAAGGAGTTGGGCAAGGGGCAAAGTGGTATCATCTGTGAGATGCAGAAACAGGCAAATTGGTGTTTGATTTCTGAAACAAGCATGTTGCTGGAGGCACTAGCTGGACAGGTTTAACTGAGTGCATTTGTCTATTTTATATATTTAAAATGTATTTTATCTCACCTTCCTGCTTAAAAAGGACCCAAAGCAGCTTACATCATTAAAAGATAGCATTTAAAGCTAACAAAAGTGAGTATACAAACACTAAAAAAGATCAAACAAACACCATACTAAAAAAAAAACAGTAAACAAAAGCAACACCAAAACACATTCAAAGCAGTATAATACAACAATCTATTTAAAAACCTCACTCAGGCAGCCAGTCACTCAGGAAAAGCTTGTCTGAAGAAAAAGGTTTATGCATGCTTGTGGAAATACAGTGAAGAGAGGGCCAGCCTAGCCTCCTGTACGAGGGAGTTCCAGAGTCTGGGAGCAGCAAAACGAGAAGGCTTTCTCTCATATACTTATTTGCCCTGTTTCTCCGAAAATAAGACCTAACCTGAAAATAAGCCCTAGTTAAGTGAAACCCCACCCTTTACCATTGTGCAGCAACCAGAAGAAGATGGCATGACTGTATTTGAATAAATGTAGATTGTTGTACATGAAAAAAATTAAAACATCCCCTGAAAATAAGCCCTAATGTGTTTTCTTGGAACAAAAATTAATATAAGACTCTGTCTTATTTTTGGGGAAACACGGTATTCTCTCTCTCTCTCTCTCTCTCTCTCTCTCTCTCTCTATCTATCTATCTATCTATCTATCTATCTATCTATCTATCTATCTGACGTATGCTACCTGCCCTCTGCAAGAGTCTCCATACCAATATACACACCAAATACACTTGTGAAGGTGACATATTTACATCCAAACAGGCTCATAGTGGGAGACACAGTGCTTTCAGTGGTCCCCAACCTTGGGCCTCCAGATGTTCTTGGACTTCAACTCCCAGAAATCCTGGCCAGCAGAGGTGGTGGTCAAGGCTTCTGGGAGTTGTAGCCCAAGAACAGCTGGAGGCCCAAGGCTGGGGACCACTGCTTTAAATAGCTTGGACCCAAGCTGTTTAGGGCTTTGTAGGTTAGAACCAGCACTTTGAATTCTGTCTAGAAACGGATCAACAACCAATGGAGCTGCTGTAACAGGGGGATTATGGGATTACTGTGACCAGCCCCATTTAGCAATCTGGCTGTTGTGTTTTGGACATGCTGAAGTTCCTGACACTTTCTATAGGTATCCCCCTGTAAAGCGTGTTACTCTAATCCCATCGAGATGTAAGGGATGTGTCACTGTGACCAGATCAGCCTGCTCCATGAGAGGATGCAACTGACACACTAGTTTTAACTGAGCAAATGCATTCCTGGCTACCTGTGAAACCTGGGCATCCAGACTTGGAGATGAATCCACGAGCAGACCCAAGCTGCACACCTGTGTTTTCAGAAGCACAGGTTGCATCCCTGTTCTTTTATCTGCCTTTCAACTGACCAAGAGCACCTCTGTCTTGTCTGGATCAAGTTTCAGTTTATTCCTCCTCATCTAGTCCTATTACTGATACTAGACATTGATCTAGGACCAAAACAGCTTCCTCAGGTTTAGATGGCAAGGAGAGACAGAGTTGTGTGCCATCTGTGTATTGGTGACACTGAATCCCAAAACTCCAGATAATCTCTCCCAGTGGTTTCATGTAGATGTTACATTACATAGGAGCTAAAGCAGAACCTTGAGGGACTCTGCAGGCCAGGGGCCAGGGTGTCAAACAGGAGTCCCCCAGCATCACCTACTGAGTTCTCCACAAAGGACCGGAGCCACTGTAAAATATTGCCTTCAAGTCCCATCCCAGAAAGGATACCATGTTTGGCGGCATCAAAACCGTTGAGAGATCCAGCAGAACCATCAGGGACACACTCCTCTGGTCCAGTTCTTAGCATTGGGACCTGTCAGCTGCCTATCTTTTAGAGCTATCAAGATGAGTTGGGAATTAGGTCTGTTCTGTACAGTGACTTGTCCATTTCCCTTCTAGGCCAACCTTAAGGACCTGTCTCAAATCCTGAAGAAGATGCCCCAGTACCAGAAGGAACTTAATATGGTGAGAGTCAACGGCTTGCTTTCTGTCCTGTTTGTTGATAAGGTTAATTTTTTTTTTACTTTCCACATTATTTAAGGGAACCTCAAGGCAACTGCAACTCCATTTAAAACAACTCTCAAAACCATCATAAAAGAGAGAATCCAGCATCAACTAGCCAAGCTAAAGTCTGGCTAATGAGCAAACAGTTCATTCTTTCCTCTCCCTCATGTTGCAGTATGCCACACATCTGCACCTGACCGAGGATTGCATGAATGCGTTCAAGGGCACAGTGGAAAAGCTATGCAGCATGGAGCAGGTGAGCACATTAAAAGTTCACTGGGAAGCAAACTGGACACAGGGCCCATTTCAGGCTAGGCATATGCGTAGCACGATCCAGTTTGTTGGTCAGTTGTGTAGTTGGTGGATCCTGTGCTTTTATCTTGGGGTGTCCAAGAATAACCAAGCAGAAGGGAAGGTCTGATTATTCTTTTTCCATCCAGGACTTGGCCACAGGCGCAGATGTTGAAGGGCAGAAAGTCAAAAACCCTATGCAGACAATTGTGCCGATTGTTCTAGATCACAACGTGGAGCCATTAGATAAGATTCGCATCATCCTGCTTTGCATCTTCCTCCAGAATGGTAACTCCATAACTGCTTTTCCTCAGCTGCAGGGCCTGGGGTGGCTCCACTTCAAGGAAGGCGCAGATTCCTCGCACCCTTTTCTTCCCTTTCTCAGACTCCCTTTGCTCAGATAACTTTTCCCCAAGACCCGGTTCTCCTAATGCGGTTGTGAACAAAGCTGAAACTCAGGGTTGTCTTGAAGTCACAGGACTGGTTTCTTTTCTTTCCATTGAGCCTGTGACTCCTTCTCTGCCTCCATTCTGGGTAACATCCTGTATAGGTGCTTGAGGGGACTGATGTGTACAGCTGTGTAGGGCACAGGAATCTTACCTGTGAATTGTGTCCCTTCCACGTAGGCATCAAAGAGGAGAACCTTACCAAGCTCATCCAGCATGCCAACATACAGCAAGAGAGGGGCATCCTCTACAACATGCACTTACTGGGTGCCGCCCTCATGCCAGAGGTATTTACATCCCTGTGCTTCATCTCACCTCCTAGGCCAAGGCAGCTGCAGCTGGCTTGCTACTGTAGTGTGAGGGCAGGTGGCAATTCATGGAAGGTTGTGAGTAATCTCTGGGATTCCTGCTGTTTTGGAAGTTGTTTTCTACTGGGGTGGGGTTCTTCTCTGCGGGGGGGCAGGCAGCTGCCCTTCTGTTCGTTTTCTACTGGGGTGGGGTTCTTCTCTGCAGGGGGGGGGAGGCAGGCAGCTGCCCTTCGGTTCAACCCCCCCTCTTTCTCTCTCACAAGCTTTGTTCAATCCACTCTCTGTTCTTTTTCCTCCTTTGCCTCCTGCTGTCCCCTTCGGCAGAGCAGCTGAAGTGAACCAGGTAAGCCACTGCTTCTCCCTGCCAGCGCCTGATATTTCTAAATGTCTCTCCTCCTCTCCTGTCCCTGCCACACCAACAGCATCCCTTCAAGGAATCCTGTCTCCTCTTTCCTTTTCTAACTCAGTCCTCTCTTCACAGGAGCCTGGTGGACTCGTAAAACCTGTGAGGAAAGTGCGGTTGGAGCCTACATACCAGCTCTCTCGATGGGTCCCTGTTCTTAAGGATGTCATGGAGGTACCCAGAGAGGGCACAGAGGAATGGGGAAGTAGAGGGAGGTGGACAGGTAGATTTTGTGCCGCCTGCCGCAGAATTTCTAACAACAGATAGCATCTGTGGCATTCTTGCACTCAAGCCCCATATTTGAGACGAGAACTCCCATATTTGTTTACTTCCAAGTGTGATCTTGTGTTGTGGCCATTCTGTTGTGCTGTTGTGGTCATTCTGTCTGCATCTCACAGGAGAGGAAGGGATTTTATTTGTGGCTTGCATTGCTTTACTGGGTCGGGCTGCCCTTGTCTGCCTGGATATGTTGCCCGGACTGTTCCTCTTGGTACTGCCCTTCTCTGAGGATTTGGGGAAAGGCCATTGACTCAGCTCCAGCCCCAGAGTTAATCCAATCAAGAGGCCCCTTTGTCCATCCAGCCCACCCAACTCCATGGAGTTGTGCGAGCTAAGCTGCACAAAACATTAAGCTCCTACTATAAAAAGTCAACAAAGGATTAGTCTAAAAGTCCCTGTGATGAAGCATTTCCATGTTGTCGTAGAGCCCAGACCTGTTGCACAGCCAGCCTGCGTGCCTCTGAGCTGTTTGTACTGGGGGGAGGGAATGTAAGGGTTGGCTTTCAATGATGCTTCCATTCCAGAGGGGAAATTTTGAAGCAGCAAATGGGTATTACACATTACTTCAATTGGCAGTGGAGGGTGAATCAACTCTTGAGTGCTTCTGAGGGAGACTTCTGTTGTCACCCCGGCCCACTTACAGATTTGTATTTGTAGTGAAGTGGAGGGAATGCAGATGATATTGTCTTATACAGTGGTGCCTCGCTTAGCGATTTTAATTGGTGCCAAAAAAACATCGCTATGGGAAAACATCGCTAAGCGAAACACATTTTCCCATAGAGATGCATTGAAAACTGGATCATACGTTCCACTGGGAATGGATTGCCGTCCTTAAGCGAAAATCGCCATAGGAAACATCGCTAAGCGAAACGCGGTTCCCCCATTGAAACCTTTTCCGTGCATTTCAATGGGGAAGAAAAAAAATCACCAAAAATTCAAAAAGAGTCAGAACGAAGCCAAATTAGTTTAACAAAGGGTTTATTAAGTGCACTAACGATTTCAAGCACTCTAAACCCTTTTTAAACAATTTAACACCTTTTAAAAATAGCGAAAATGGAGCTGTCAAAAGCATCGCTAAGTGAAACAGGGGGACCTAAACTGTCATTGCTAAGCGGAGCAAGGTCCCAAACATCGCTATGCGAAAGTCCCCCATTGGAAACATCGCTAAACTGAGCGCAAGATCGCTCCTAAAGCCTCATCGCTAAGCGAATACATCGTTAAATGAGGCAATCGCTAAGCAAGGCACCACTGTACTTGCTACCGTTCTATAGTTTATCACTGCTGTATCTATGATGTTTTTTTCTTATTTTAAAACTTTGGTTAGGGGTGGAAAATGGAGATGACCACACAAAACATTTGAGTATCTTTGAGAGATCACACTGTAATAACCACAAGACAGAAGTTTTAAGAGTGCATCTAGATCTATTTCAGGTCCAGATATGGGGCAGAGACTATTTTGATTGCCTTGGTGGATGATCTACACCAAGAATTGGATGGGTGTGTATGTGTGTGTCTGTTGGTTCTGCTGGTGTTTTCAATACCATCAATCATGATATTCTTCCAGGCAGTCTCTTTGGGAGGGGACTTAGAGATACTGCTTTACAGTGGCTCTGGCCTTTCCTGGAGAGACAATCTCAGAAGATGGTGCTGGGGGACTCCTATTTGATGCCCTGGCCATTGGCTTGTGGGGTCCTTCAGAGTTCTGTTCTGTCCCCCATGCTGTTTGACACATAGACGAAACTATTGGGAGAGGTTGTCTAGGATTTTGAGGTTTGGTGCCGCCAATACCCTCGTGACCCTCAACTCTGTTTCTCCTTTCCTTCTGATCCCAGGGAAGTCATTTGAGTCCTAAACCTGAGTCTGGGGTCAGTAATGGATTCGACAAGGGCAAAGAAGCTGAAGTGTAGCCCAAACAAAACAGATGTGTTCCTGGTCAGTCAAAGGCAGATAAGAGAATAGGGATTCACACTCAGACCTAAAACTGGATGGGGTCATGCTCCCCCTGAAAACTCAGATTTTCATCCTGGGCATGCTTCTGGATTCATCTCTTGAGTCTGGATGCCCAGATCTTGGCAGTAGTCAGGAGTGCATTAGCACAGTTAAAACTTGAAAAATCTCTTGAAAAATCTGGCTATAGTGACACATACCTTAGTGACAAATCATTTGGATTACTGTGCTGCACTCTGCATGAAACTGCCTTTGGAAAATGTCTAGACACTTCACAGGGTCCAGGATGCTAGACCTCAGGCCAGAAAATCACTGTTAGAACAACCTCACTAGCTACTAGTCCACTTCTGGGCACAATTCAGAGTGCTGCTCTCAACCTATAAAGCCCTAAATGAGTTTATTCCAGAGTATTTGAAGGACCATATCTCTCCATAACAGCCACTACGCTGGCTTTCAAGATTTTTTGGAGGTGGCCTTTTTGTCGACCCCACTACCTTCAATAGGCATGGTTGGTGTGGACACAAGAGAGGTTTTTTTTGGGGGGGGGTGATTGCTCTGAGGCTATAGAACTCCTTTCCACAGGAGACCAGGCTGGCCCCCTTTCCTTTGCCCCCCTGCTGGAAGGCAGAGACCTCCTTCTTCAGAAAAGCTTTTATTATGTAAATACCGAGGATAGGGTTTTAAGGGGTGAATTGTTATTTTATGTTTTAATGTGTTTTTTAAAACATTTTCTAATGGTGTTTTATTTTGTGCCTTTTAATAATTAATCTTAAAATCTGTAATTCCTTTAATATTGGTGTTTTAAAGACATTTGTAAGCCCCTTTGAGTCCCTCAGGAAGAAAGGTAGGATATATATGTATGTATGTATGTATGTATGTATGTATGTATGTATGTATGTATGTATGTATGTATGTATGTATGTATGTATGTATGTATGTATGTATGTATGTATGTATGTATGTATGTATGTATGAATGAATGAATGAATGAATGAATGAATGAATGAATGAATGAATGAATGGCCTGTTTCAATTACAACAAAAACAAAAGTACTATGGTAACTTAAATACTAGGAAATATATTCCATTTTGAGGTTTTGTGGATACAGCCCACTTCTTCAGGCAGACCCTGATAGAATTCACTTTTCCATTTTGCTCAGCACTCTTGAGTGGTTCCATTTTTACTCTTTGGCCCATATGTCTTTCCCTGTTTAAAGAGTCAAATTGAACTGTGTAATGAGGCAAACAGCTTATGTACTTGTAGCAACATAAGAAGAAAGGGGGCTGATCAGTTTTTCCCCTCTTCTCATATTTACACAGGATGCCGTAGAGGACAAGCTAGACAAGTCGTCGTGGCCCTACGTGTCTTGCCCAGCCCCAGGTCCGTGCACTCAAACTGCTGTGAGGTGAGCTTTCCAGCCCTTGCCCCACGTAACAGTCCAGGGCTTGCATCTACCTTCCAGTTTTTCATTTCACAGTGCTTTTTTGGTGGGGAAGAAGTAATGTGTGGGGAACAGAAGGATTCTGAGAACAGCAGCATTTTCAGGAAGCAGTGGCAGAAACCAGTCTAAGCCAACTGAGAAATAATCAGATAAAACCTGGTGGTTTGTTTGTTTTGCATTTGCTTCTCCTTCTGAGCTTTGTTGGAAAACACTGTCATGTCTGTTCGTGCTTAAAGGCATGCACTCCATAACACAGTAGACATATCTTGAGCTGCTGTTGCAGAATACACAGTGGAACTGACTCTGCTCCAGAGTGAGGAAAGGAGGGATAGTGCCCAGATACCTTGAGAGGATAGTGTTGTGTGCAAGAGTAAAAGAGGTAGATCAGCAGGATTGTATATGGGAGAATTGGGGGAAGATGAAGGGCAGTACAATGCTCTTAAGATCCTCTTTTGTGGACTCCAACAGATTGCATGGCATGGTTTTGTAATACCCAGAGAGAACACTGGAACTTAATACAACATGAGAGAACAAAATAGGTCTACCTGAAACTGTGAAAGCTTTCTTTCTCCAAATTAATCCTGTGTGTGTGTTTAATTTTCAATTTTTTATTGTTCGACATCTGATCTATTTATAGAGGACTTTTCTAAAGCTTCTCCCCATCCCCACCCCGTTATGTAAAAACATCCACTTGGAGAAACTATTGTTTGCTCACAGGGCTGAGGTTGCATTCCGGAGCCCATGTTGCTGGGAGGCTTGAGTGCAAGACGATGGTACTTCGTCTCAACTGCACCTCTTAGGCAACCTCCTTGGGGCTGGTGCCCTCTGCCTACCAACTTCTTTCTTCCACAGTGCACGCTTTGGTCACTGGCACAAGACAAAGACGGCGACTGAGTACCGGACTGGGCCCCGCCTCATTCTGTACGTGCTGGGTGGAGTTACAATGTCTGAAATGCGCTGTGCCTATGAAGTCACGGAGGCCACGGAGGGGAAGTGGGAGGTGCTGATTGGTAAGTGAGCTGCTCAGGGAGCGGTCACGGCAAAGCTGCTTTTAAAGGTCAAAATCACGTAGTTGAGTCATTGATATAGGAAGTGCCCATCAAGGGGGGAAAGGGGATGCTGCTTCACTTAGTCTGGTGGCATGAGTGACTTGATTGTGTATCGTGACTCTTGAGGGAGATCATTTGACCAGGGGAGCCAGAAAAGCATACCAGTAGGAAGCTGATTCACATCTGAAAGTAACTTTCCTAATCACCAGGACTTGGGGACTGAAAAGTGATATACAAATACTTTTTAAAAATATATATTTTAAAAAAACTAGGGATAGGGGTACAGAAGGTAAGGGGAATGGACAAAAAAAAGGCTGGGGGGGTAACTTTCCTAATCACCAGGACTTGGGGAGTGAAAAGTGATATACAAATACTTTTTTAAAATATATATATTTAAAAAAAACTAGGGATGGGGTACAGAAGGTAAGGGGAATGGCCAAAAAAAGGCTGGGGGAGAAGGAGAACATAAAATATGTTGTCATCAAATCCTGTTATTCATGTTACAATATCAAAGCCACTTTTCACCTTTCTACCGTTGGATTGCCTTTCCAGATTTCTACTTGCAGTTACAGTACCTCTTAGTTTAGTTCTATCTTTGTCCAGTTCTATCTACTGACTCAAACCATTTATATAGTAAATCTTATTGTTCAGTTGCCTTTTGTATTGGACAGTCTTTCTACACTTCTGATAAAATGTCCGTCTCTGCCGCTTCCCAAATCTCCTCCAAGAGATCCTCTTGCTTCGGTATCTCTGAGTTCTTCCAGTTCTTAGCTCTGGCTGTTATAACTATATGTATAACTAGATAACTCTTTGTCTTATCTATATTATCCGGTATAATATTCAGTAAAAACCAATTCAAGTGATATACAAATACTGATGGTGATGGCAGAGTCTTTGCAGTGCCACACATTCTGCAACAGAGTCACACAGACTGCGTAATCACAGCTATCCAGGTGGCACATGGGATCCTAACCCCAGCACCTTTTCCCCCTACATGCTAAGAAGGGATGACAAGGAAAGCTGCTCTCTCTCGAAATGTTCATATAGGATAACTGGTTGTTATGGATGTCTGGATGTTATGGGCTCCCTTAGTAACACCTGCCCTTCTTTCTTTTCCCTCATACAGGTTCCTCCCACATCCTGACTCCAAAGCAGTTCCTAGAAGATGTGCAGAATCTGACTCCGCAGATGCCACCGAAGCACTAAACCCGCCTCCAACCCATAAGAGACTTCCTGACAGCAGTTCTATTTATCTGCCCAGATAATCCCCATTTCCCCTCTACAAGATGCCTTCCTTTTTTCATACACCAGTCTTTGCCTCTTTGTCTTTAATGAGCTCGATACTGGAAGGGCCTAGTCAAATATCCAAGTCAAAGATGAGGGTCCCATATCTCTTTCTGTGGGGGAGATTTTTCTGGTTGCACTTTATTTTCCTCTCTTTTGCCTCCCCACCTGATGGGGCCCTGAAGAATATAAATACTTTCTTTCTTCCCCCAGCCCACCTCCCACCATCAATAGTTATTTGCTCCTTCAGATGGTGAGGAGGAATTCCAAGAAGTGAATTCCTTTGGCACTTAGATGTGTGTCTGAGGTTCTGATTCTTTCTGCCTTTGCAAAGTGATTGACTCCTGGAAATTGCTTTTGTTATTGTTTTGGGGAAACATTTTCCAGACTGTTCATCCCCACTTGTTATCTTCAGGGAAACATGAAGCGCAATGGGCATTGCTGGGTGCCCAACATGGTGTGCCTAGCAGCTATACTGACTGACACCTGGTGTAAGATAGGAATAATTGCTACTTTTACCCAATCAGGGAAGATGCATATATATGAAAGTGGGGGTAGGTGCTATTTGAATCACATTGTTGTATGGCTCTGCTATAGAATCTCACTCTTCAGGAAAAAAATGTGAAAATTAAGATTATCTGTCTGCATCTTGTATACTCTGTAAACCAGTTTGTATCATGAGGATAAATGGAAGATGGTACACTGAGACAACACTTTGATTTTTCTTTCATTCATTCTGTATTGTGTGCTTTCATATGTTGCCTCTGGAAAGTTAGTCCCATCAGCTACAAGTATAGGATAAATGGAAGATGGTACACTGAGACACTTTGATTTTTCTTTCATTCATTATGTATTGTGTGCTTTCATGTGTTGCCTCTGGAAAGTTAGTCCATCAGCTACAAGTACCCTAGCCTCACCTTCTTGCTGTTTTAATATTTGTATGAATGCTGTGTTCGTGTTTGAATGTTCCCATGTTGTGAAGTTCACTTTTCCTTATCTACAGTGAGATCGTCTGAAAAAAACTGACACACATGACTTTTGTGTATCGTTTTTATACAAATATGTTTAGGTTGAGCACGTTTGAGAGCTGGGATTTTCTTTCAGATGTCATCTAGTGACTCTGACAGTAAGCTGAACTTTTGGCTCCCCCCCCCCATATACTGTAGCTCAGTGTCTGTTGTTCTCATTTCAGAAAAGATCATAGAATCGTAGAATCATCATAGGGTTGGAAAGGACCTTGGAAGTCTTCTAGTCCCCCCTCCTGCCCAAGGCAGGAGACTTCATACCGTCCCGGACCTAATACCATCCCGGACAGATGGCTGCTCAATCTTTTCTTGAAAACCTCCCACGATGGGGCACCCACAACATTGGGAGGCAAGCTGTTCCACTGCTTAGTGGTTCTCACAGTCAGGAAATTCCTCCTTATTTCCAGGTTGGATCTCCCTCTGAGGAGTTTCCACCCATTGGTTCTTGTCCTACCCTCAGGCGCAATGGAGAATAAATTGATGCCCTCTTCCCTGTGGCAACCAGTCAGATATTCATGTCTCAACTTCGTTAAGCTAAACATACTTAGTTCTTTTAGTCGTTCTTCATAGGATTTAGCCTCCAGCCCCCTTATCATCTTTGTTGCTCTTCTCTGCACCCCTTCCAGGGCCTCAGCGTCTTTTCTGTATTATGGTGACCAGAACTGGACACAGCACTCCCAAGTGTGGCCGCACCAGCGTGATATAGAGTGGTACTATTACTTCCCATGACATTGATGCTATCCCCCTGTTGAGGCAGCCTAGAACTGTGTTGGCTTTCTTGGCAGCTGCAGCACACTGCTGACTCATCCTTAGGTGGTGGTCCACAAGGACACCTAAATCCTTCTCACAGGTACTACTTTTGAACCCGGTACCACCTATCCTTTACCTGTGCATCTGGTTTCTCCTGCCTAAGTGCAGGGCCTTACTTTTCCTGCCACTGAACTGCATCTTATTGGATAGGGCCCAATGTTCAAGTCTGTCTAGATCCTTCTGAATGCTGAGTCTATCTTCCAAAGTATTAGCAATTCCCCCCAACTTTGCGTCATCAGCAAATTTGATGAGTGCTCCTTCAATCCCCTCATCCAGGTCATTTATGAAGATGTTGAAGAGCACTGGGCCCAAGACAGAAACTTGAGGGCCCTCCACTGCACATTTCCCTCCACGTAGATCTGGTTCCATTGAGGATCACACATTGACTGTGGTTAGTCAGCCAGCTGCAAATCTATATGGTAGTTGCACTGTTTATCCCACTTTGTTCTATCTTATGCAGAAGTAGGTTGTGGTCTACCTTATCAAATGCCTTACTGAAGTATATACTATATCCACTGTGTTTGCTCGATCCACTAATTTAGTCACTTTATCAAAGAAGGCAATGTTCCTTCTTTGTTCCTGATGTTCCAGGTGGTGTCCCTTACATACAACCCTGACACAGAAAGGAAATGAAATAACTCTGGTACAAAAAACTTGACTTGCTGTTTGCAAAATATTCCTCACAGTGCATGATTATTCAGAAGTAAGTGACACTGAGTTGAATAGTTCCTCCTCATAAATACATGTATACAAGATTATAGACTTCTATCACAACAATAATTGTATCCAACCCCAAAACTCAAAATAGACCAAATAAAGAATAGAAGCTCTACAGTCTAGGCTGAAGCTGTGCTTTAGGAAAATGTTCAGCTAAAATAAGTTTCTATGACACTTAGTTTTCCCAAATGGTAAAAGGTAAAGGTAAAGGTTCCCCTTGACAATTTTTGTCCAGTCGTATTCGACTCTAGGGGGCGGTGCTCATCCCCGTTTCCAAGCCACAGAGCCAGCGTTTTTGTCCGAAGACAATCTTCCGTGGTCACATGGCCAGTGCGACTTAGACACGGAACGCTGTTACCTTCTCACCGAGGTGGTCCCTATTTATCTACTTGCATTTGCAAGCTTTCGAACTGCTAGGTTGGCGGGAACTGGGACAAGCGACGGGAGCTCACTCTGTCACGTGCATTCAGTCTTACGACTGCTGGTCTTCTGACCCTGCAGCACAGGCTTCTGCAGTTTAGCCCACAGCGCCACCACGTCCCTTTTTCCCCAAATGAGACCATGCCAATCTTATGATATTCCAAGTATGCTTTAAAGGGTTGGAAGATCCATGGAAATTTTGAAAGTGTTCTTTCTTTTTTGCAGTAGCAGGTGTGAATTCAGAAATAATGAGACTCGTATAAATTAGAGATATACTTTGTTAATTTGAAAATCCTTATAGATTACAGATTTCTGGTTCATCCACTTCTAACACAGTGGGCTAAAAAAATATAACCAAATGAGGTCAATGCATCACATTGTCAAGGGACTGCATTTATGAATTACTTTTTTTGCTGTAAGTAGGAAAAAGGAAAAGGGAGAAAGAAAAGGAAATGAAAAAAAAAGGCAAAATATTATAACATTTCAAAGACTGAGTTATTTCTATCTGAGTTTTCAAGAATTAAAATCTGTATCTGAGGAAGTGGATTCTGATTCACAAAAGCTGACACTAAAATGAGTCTGCTAGTCTTCAAAGTATTATAGTAATGTCTGTAGGTTTTTTAAGTGCCTTCCCCCACCCTTCTCTTTTTCCTCTTTCCTTTTATCTTCCCATTGGGACAAGACTAATATACCTATTTATTTGGAATGTTTTGCTATAAAGCTACCTATGCATACATCCTGTTGACAATCTCCTTCTCTTTTGTGGAAATTTCTTGTGTCCCTTTGGGATAGTAGATAATACAGTATCACAGTATCATAATCAGGTCTCGCAGCATAGTAGATCATATCACGCTCTAGTGCGACCAATCTCCCTGTCCCTTCATACATCATAAAAGGAACCTGGTTCTGACATAAGCACTAAGCTTTGGTTTAGTGTTTGAAATGCTCCCCTTCCCTTCTCATATTAATTCGAGGTGGGGCCTTCCAGTGTTTCCTGCTATATTTGACCCTGGTGGACTCTGGTTAGCTTAAGGCAAGGGCGAACCACTTGCAGCCCTCCAAAAGTTGTTGGCCCACAGCTCCCATCAGCGCTCAGCCGTTAAGAGGCAGGGATGACAGGCGGTGGGAGTTATAGCCCAGCAGCATCTGGAGGGCCAACATGCCTGCCAGCCCTGGATGAAATAAGAGTTATTGAAAAATCTGGGGTAATGGAACAGACAGATGAGCCTGCCTTGTTTAAAGAAAGGTAAAAAGGTAAAGGTTCCCCTTGACAATTTTTGTCCAGTCGTGTTCGACTCTAGGGGGTGTTGCTCATCCCCGTTTCCAAGCCATAGAGCCAGCGTTTTTGTCCGAAGACAATCTTCTGTGGTCACATGGCCAGTGCGACTTAGACACGGAACGCTGTTACCTTCCCACCGAGATGGGCCCCATTTATCTACTCGCATTTGCACGCTTTCGAAGCGCTAGGTTGGCGGGAGCTGGGACAAGCGACGGGAGCTCACTCCGTTGCGTGGGTTCGATCTTATGACTGCTGGTCTTCTGACTCTGCAGTACAGAGGCTTCTGCGGTTTAGCCCACAGCACCACCACGTCCCTTTGTTCAAAGAAAGTGTTGTATAAATTAACCAGAGACCCTGTAAAAACAAACCCTGCTTAGTTTAAAAGTAGAGGCTTGTCTCCCTTCCCTCCGCCGTTCTTGGGCTGTACCAGGGAAGAAGGAGGTAATATAGTACTTTAAAGTCTAATCCATGAACTAGCTTTTCATCCAAAAAGGCCAGTATGCAATAAAGCAATCTCATTTTGTCGTGGCTGTGAAAGGAAAGGCTCTCTGGGATGAAGTTTTGAGTACATACGGTCAGATATATTTTCAGGGTAGCACTGCACGTTATGTTGCAATCCCAGTTGGTGGCATGTAGGCGAGCATTGCATGTGTTCACACAGCACAGTTTAAAGTGTGAACACTTAATGCTTATGTGCCGATAGCCCCTATATATGTTTGCGTAAAAGAAGCAAATTTGTTCTCTATATTCCACCCTGATGTGTTTGCACCTATTTAACACGGTCCTGCATATACATGCTGGTAGTAGAGTAGAGCCATCCTAAATAACTTGGAGAACAATGGTTTTTTTAAAAAAGGAATGTTTCATGATTTACATTTGGGTGTCAGTTTAAATGCTAAGCATTAATGTTCTAAAGATGTGTACATTGTTTGCAAACACCACCTGTGAACCTGGGCAGTTGGTAATGCCCTGCTGTGTCTACATGTACTGCTGACGTTGATTTTGCTGCTGCATAATGCGTGAACCAGTCCTTGCTTAAGCCTTCCTCCTAGACCTGGGGGCCAAGCTTCCCTTTTTTAAAAAAGAAATCATGACCTAACCAGCTGTTCCTTGCCTGCCTGGCTGCTGTCTACTAATTAACGCAGTGAAAGGGGTTGAGATCCTGGTAGCCTGCTACAACATGTTTACTTGATGTCCCACTTCCTCTCTGCCTTGGACACCCCCAGCCCAATCTGCTCTGTGTAGAGCTTTTAGTCCTGATCCCTGATTGGGAATTACCATCTGCAATTAATATCCATTTGGATAATTGCACTACAGCAGCTGCTGTGGAGGTGGATCATGGATTCTAGGGTGATGAATTACTGCCACTGTTTCCCTGAATGGGTTTCAAGCTGACCATGAGGAGGGGGTCAATCAGATACTTTTGGGGCGGAGCTGCTGGTTCTAAACATGCAGCTTCA